ATGAATATTTTTTTTACTATGAAATGGGTTGCATGATGACAAAAAAGACCATATTGTGATTTTATTGCTAGACACTGTGATTGTAATTATAACTGTAATATGTTGGTGAACCCATAATGTGATGTGGTTAAAGATTATCCTGCTTTAAAAAAGAAGTAGAAAAAGAAAAATATTGTCCCTTGGATCTTATGAATGTCTTAATGCATCCAGACCACCCACAGAATATCATCTGAAGCCCATTGCAGCCTTCCACGATGACAGTGCAAAGGCCCACGTTGTGATTATAATTAACAAATGATGTATTTTACAATCCCAGTTCTTACTTTTTAGGTGGGTGTTGAGAGAAGTCTTTAAAGCAATTCCATCATTTTTCCATAATTTCTACATAATTAAATTGATATGATGTAAACAAAGTAATTCAGAGTGGTTACATGTGAAAGAGAATCTTGCCAGAGTCAGAACTGTTAGTAATAGGAACCAGACGTCTGAAGCATGTAATGCCTTTAAAAGCTGCCTAACAGAAAGCAGATGGTTATGAATACTCTGCCTGATGACTGAGACATTGTTTTTAATGATAGTTTTGAGATAAGATTTTGGCCTACAATACACTTTTTAAAATCTTTAGTTTTTAACATTCGTGGTGGAAAAGTACATGCAGGGCATTGTAAGGCAAAATAAAAGAACCTGAAAGAACCTTACTTATTTTCATTCTTTAAAATGTATTAATGTTTTACCATTATTGACATTACATATAAAACACATGTAGGTTCACTGGTCATTTTGGATAGAAAATAAATGTTACATTTGTGTTGCAGGCGTTGTGACCTCTGATTCATATCCACTGTTCTAAAGAAGTATGAGTCACTAAGTTTCTCTACAATGCACCATTTCACATCAGACCACTCTGTTTAAGTTTGTTTACATCTCTATGATTGAATTGTGCAGGCATTTTGAAAAATCCTTGGAATTCTCCTTTAGCTCCACACATTCACGTGTTTTTTACATGATCTCTCTAGAAAGAGAACAGAGGCACAAAAAGCCGATGTAAGGTGCAGTGTTTAAAGGCTCCACACCGGTCGATTTGGATCCGAGACTCTGACACAGCGCCATGAAATTGGACTCTGGTAAAACAAGTTGTAATAACAGGAGAAAAGGGCTGTAATCTGTAGTTTACCAGATAGTACCCAAGTCCAGTATCATTCATTTATAGGTCCTTACATTATCTGACTTGTCCGACATGGCACTACGTTCAGTTTGATACAAGTAAGAGCTATTTAAGGCCACTTTAACTCATGCGACATCTCTACATTTATTTATATGGCATTTCAGCACCATTGTTCTGTCTCACTGCTAATCTCACTCTAAACTCTGCTTTTTGATTAGGCATTTAGCAGCACATAAAAGGTTATTAAGGCCACTAATATGAGGGTTCGGGGGGGTGTCTGAGTTGAAGAATAGGAGGGAACCCATAAGAGACAAGGCTAATTACAATCCATTTCTCTATCTGAACCCAACCATCTGCCAGTGTCAGCCGCTTACTGTCTATTGGCTTTCAATCATGAACGGACCGCTGCAGCCAAAGATGTGTGTTTTAATTAGGGAGCTGCTGTATAATTATATTTATATTTTAATGATGACTTTGACGGAGTGTTTGAGTGGATGTCCTTCATTGTTCGCTAAAATGATAATATTTAATTATGATGTTTGAACACCCCAGATTTGGGCGCTCAAGTGGTTTTCTGTCTCTTTGACACACGCGCACACACACAGCACACCCACATATACAAAGCTATTGGGAGTACTTTGATGCTCTCTTCTTGTACAGTTCTGCCAGTACTTGTTCCTGTTCATTCTGCTAGCAGAATGTCATGCATTAAAGCCAGTCAGCTGACAGCTTATGAGGAGCATGGAGGTGGTCGGTCAGTCGGCCAGTTGTAAAGATGTTAGAATCTACAAGTGTGGTTGAATATACTCAAAGCCTATTTGAGCTGAATGAGCTCTGTGATTTAAGTCCAGTATGAATCTGCAGTGTTGGTCATCTGAGGCTGGCTTTTCATGGTGAAACTGGTGAGCACAACTTTAGTGACTTAAAACTGATGTTTTCACTTGAGTTACGTAATGTGAAGCAAGGATGGCCACCCTGGTCTGAGTGATGTGCTGCCCTCCAGCTCTGATCTAACACACCTGATCTAATTAATGAAGGCCTATAAGAGAATCTGAATGTTAGAACCAGGTGTGTTGAAATTAAACTCTCCTGGGTAGCAGGTCACCCGAGTCACCTGGACCGCGCCCCTTCTACAGCCTGATACTTTGAACTCAGATGCAACAACTGCAGCCATGAAATAAGCTTAACGAATGTGCTACATGATCATGTTGAACAATATAATTTCAACATGATATAAGTTCAAATAACACATCATGGATGATGGTCTCTTGTTATAATGTTCACTTCGTGGGAACCTGCTAGTTTCCAACCAGCTAATGTTACCATGACAGCTAGATTATTACTTTTTGCATCTTTGCTTTTTATGTTACTCAAGTTGTGTGGAAATTGCTTTGCACGTCTTGCAACCTTCGACTAGTTACGTGAAATTTTCACAACATAAAGCCAGCCTGACAGTAATAATTTTAAAGTGAGTTTCTTTTTATAATTGGCTGAAGCCAGAGCTTCCTCAGTATTAGCAGTCCTGTTCCAATCCATCGGACCCTAGTACAGTAACAATATTTGATAATGGAAGTGGCTGTGTTGTTGTTATTGAGTGTAACGCCATGGAATTTTATTCCAGGCTGTCTGTGGTAATTTGTGGAAATTACACAGATACTTTAACTCTTAGGAATCATTCAGCCGGATACCTTACACATTGTTATGTAATGTCCGCTGGTACAACTGATCCAGTATTGGGATACAGTATGTACCTGGTTCTTTCCTCTACAACAACAGATGCCTAAAGTAAATTAAAGAGCACTTGGAAGCGAGCAATTAATCCCAGATGCCTAATCTGCTAATAAGAGCATAAAGGGCCAGTAAAACATGGAGCCAGTCTCGCCTGGGCCTGCTCACAAATCACCCCCGCTGTGCAGCACCCCAGGCCCACCGTGGCTATAGCTGCTATTCACGCTGCCTGGAGACCAAATTATCCTCCTGATTGATTGAGTTCCAAAGCATAAACCGCCATGACCGGCGATGGAGGAAGATTCGCCCGCACGGGTTTATGACTCTTTCTCTCTCTCTCTCTCTTTCTCTCTCTCTCTCTCTCTCTCTCTCTCTCTCTCTCTCTCTTTCTCTCTTTCTCTCTCTCTCTCTCTCTCTCTCTCGCCCCCATCCCACCCTCCACTCTCTCTCCTCTCTCTCTTCATTTCCCCGCCCTAACATAAGCAGTGCCGGAAAGATAAGTAACTTAAGTGGGCTACAAAGTACTGAGATTGTGTAGCCATTTCCATATCGCCTTTGTGCTGCCAGCATTGATCATGGTTGGACTTCAACCCAGCACTATTCTCCTCTGGATGGATTTCTCTGGCGTCCAGTTACACAAGCAGTCCAGCGCTCTTGCCTGTTGTTTCTCTGTTCAGATTCTATTATGACAGCTTTCCGTGCTAAGCTACGGAGAGCATAATTGCTTGTCTATAAATACACCGTCTTCATTTACAGTATTAACAAACAACTGAGCCGTCACATAATTCTTTTAAAACTGCAAAATCAATGAAACACAGAGTGGAAAACGATACTCAGACAAAGGATTACACTGTGCAAAATGTCCTTAACCATTTGTTGAGCATTGCATTGATTTTGCAGAAGGATGTTCAAGTGCTCTATTGAAATAGTTCCTTTGAAGAAGCGGCTCTTAACCCTTTTGACTGCTCTGCAGTGCAGTATTTTCTCTGTTAATGCCTTAAAGAGGTACGCTAGTGTCATTGCATTTCACAGGATTGCAAAGCCCTAATCAATTTATTATAGCAAATGGGCGTATAAGCTGGCTATCGTATCTGAAAAGCTCATCCGCGTTTGTGGCCTTCCTGGTGTGTGCTCTGAGCAGATAAGCAGGGAATGAAGACATGGCCATCCATGCAAAAATACTCAAGAGTGCATTAGGGCCACTGTAGCCTCCTGAAGATATTAAAGGCAGCTACTGAGGCCAATACCAACATACTACAGAGACTGCCCGCAGCACCCACAGGCAGCAAATCACACTCCAACAACTCCGAGTTAGTGAGACAGAGCTGAGCTACAGTTAGATTACACTATTACTGTTTTTATTCACTTCTCATACATCAGCCCACTGCTTATTTCTCTCTTCTTCTCATTTTCTGCCTGATTTCTCGTCTTCTCCTCTCTTCTCATCTTCTCATCTTCTCATCTCTTTTCTTCTCCTCTCTCATTGTCTTTCTGGATATGTGAAGAGGGACATATAGGACTTCAGTTGTCTTCTCTTTCTTGTCCTCTTCTCATTTTTTTCTCATCTTTCCTCTTTTGTCATTTTCTCTTATCATTTTCTCTCTTCTCTTCTCTTCTCTTCTCTTCTCTTCTCTTCCAGTTTCTTCTCAGTTTTTGTCTTCTCATTTTCTCTCTTCTCATGTTCTCTCCTCTCTTGTCTTGTCTTCTCTTCTCTCCTCATTTTCTCTCTTCTCTCCTCATTTCTCTCTTCTCTCCTCATTTCTCTCCTCTCCTCATTTTCTTCTCATTTTCTCTCTTCTCTTCCTTTTTTTCCTCATTTTCTCTCTTCTCATTCTTCTTTTCTCTTGTCTTGTCTTCCATTTTCTTTCTTGTTCTCTTCTGTTTCTTGTTCTCTTTCTTGTCCTCTTCTCATTTCCCCTACTTATCCTCTTTTCTCATAATTTTCTCTTCCTCTCTTCTCTTCTCTTCTCTTCTCTTCTCTTCTCTTCTCTTCTCACATTTTCTCTTCACTTGTCATGTTCTCTTCTCTGCACCTCTCTCCTCCCTCCTCTCCTCTTCTCTTCACTTCTCCTCCATAAACTCTTCTTTTTCTGTGTGTATTCTGCAGGTTTTCCTGCGACGGCATACGGTCCTGTGGCAGCAGCGGCGGCAGTGGCAGCAGCGCGTGGCTCAGGTAGGGCGGCCCGTGGAAGAGGCGGCTACGCAGCATACCCGCACAGCACAGGGCCAGGTAAACGCTCTGGCCGATTTATCTGTGTGGCTGCCCCGCTCTCCATGCTGCTCTAAACTCTAGCCGCCTCTGTCCTCTCTCACATACACATACACACAGATACAAATACACACACCACTACAAACTATGTAGTTAAAGGGAAAAAGGCAGGATTTCAGGCCCCCTGTCTTCTTTCCCTCCTCTCCTAACCTACAGTAGGTGTGATTAATGTTGTTAGTAGAGGTTGCCCCTAGCAACTGATCTTACACCAGTTTTGCTTTCTGTTTTATATATTGCGAATGCCAGGGTGTGCTTTGGTGAAGCTGGTCATAGATCAGAGTTTAGGGACAAGCTCTGCTTGCACAGTTCTATGTACTTTTGGCTGCAGTGTTGTTTTCCTAACCCCACACATTGCCATCAAACACTGAGTATCTTCATTTCTCGTAGTTTTTTAGTGGAGATGGTACCATACCAAGTTTTCTTTTCTGGTTCAGATACTATAACCTTGAGATTTTTTTTCTTTTTGTTAGACTTTAAAGCTTTAAAATGAGATTATTTTTTAATTGAACCACTTAGTTTCAGATGGGCATCTCTGCTCAGAATGCTCAAACATTTTAGTACCCTATAGGAAGAAATGCGTAGCCAACAGTGTGATTTTCACAAAACCACAGCTTTTTTTATTCAGTTAAACTGTCTCTCAGAAAATGCACTTATTGTGCAAAAATGAAAGTTTAAATTAAAAGAATAGTAATTGTAATATAATACTTAGCTAGATACTCTTATAACAGCGTTAGGCCTCCTGTCACTACTCTTGGTTTATGTTGTGCTACAAGCAGTTCAGTGAAATTTCAGGTTCGAATCAGATCTATTTTTTCTTTCTCTTCCTACAATCAAGTCCAGCGTTTTCTGCTAGTATAGGCTGATACCAGTGCTAGGTATCAGATCAGTGGCATCTTTAGTTTTTAGCGAGTTCATCCGCATTTAATCACTGCAGCTTCTGGCCGCAGCTGGCCACCAGCTTCTGAGACTAAAAGAGCAGAAATACTGAGGCTGCACTTTTAGCAGTATCCCGGCCTCTCCTCCTCTGACCACAGCTATTGATCCAGCAGCCAGATAGCTTAATCAATCAATCTGACTTTGTTCGTAAGACACAAGGATACTTAAATAAATAAACAGAGGTGGGGGGTGGGGGGTGCGGCGGTAGCAGGCAGTGCTCTCTTCACTGGCCTTTACTGCAGCGACTGGCCTTTAGCGCAGCAGGAAGTGATGGCCTTGTCTAATTGCCTGTCAGAAAGTGGGGTCTGTGTGCAAGTTTGATGTGGCCCCCGATTCTGACAGCTCCCACAGGCACACACACACGTGCATACACACACTCTCTTACACTTTCTAACACACGTGCACACAGTCTCTCACATACACGAGCATGTGTACACACCCTCTTGCAAGCAACACACACTCGAGCACACTCCATTGACACCTGCTCTCGAGCAGACAGCCATCCAGCGCGGTGTAATTCGTAGACAGGCGTAAAAGTGGCTGTGCACGCGGTCTGACGGAGTGCAGCCGACAGAGCGTGAGCCAATCAGTCATGCCTCTCCATTCAATCAGACGTGTCTGATTCTGATTAGTGCCCCCGCTAAAGGAACTTAGCCTGCGAGAACAGAAAAAAAAACACAGCACTTTGCATCTCCTTTCCGTTTATGGGTGTGAATTACGCCAGGCTTGTTCAGAGAATGCTATAAGGAGTAACCCTGCTAAACACTACGCTTATTATTCGGGAACTGGTACAAAACTAACATGTAGCTTAGACCTGAAGTGTAATACATGGTGCAGGTGCTTAGGGTTTAACTCCTTAAGCTGTAGGCTTATTATTCAGTAAATAATATAAAACTAACATGTAACCTGTAATTTGTATCAAGTAGAATTGAAGTGTGGTAGATGATACAGGTCTTTAGCATTTTATTAAGATTCCAACTACTATGAAAATAATGTGTAATTTATGTAGTTACGATTTTAAGGAACTGACTTATCTGTGCTCTGCCCACAAACACAGCCTTTCTTAGCTACAGTTGTGAGGTTGGGCAAGCTTTACAGAAGCAAAAATCTGGCTTTACCTAATGAAATATGCATAATAAGGTTCCAATTTAAAGGGCCCATATCAGACTTCTACTTTTCGTTATCCTCTGAGGTCCACTTTTAACATTAGTGTGATTTTTATGTATTGAAAATGGTCATTATTCGTTTTACATGATATTTTCCAACCTCTCTTTATACTACAGAATCAAGCAGGCCGTTTTTTTGTTTTAAACTGTGCCTTTAAGACTGAGATATATAAATGATCTTCTGATCGGCTGTCCTGTTTTGAACCTTATTGAAAAAGCAGTCTGGGCTGAAATGCACTAACTTCACCATAAACGGCCAGGCTATAGGTTGCTATAGGCTGAATAGAGAGATGTATGTAAATGACTTGGTCCTAGTGATGTCACAAAAACAATGAATTCAAAGCAGACTATTTTTGCTGCATATTTCTATATATTGACCCTATAGAGTATAGAATAAGTGGTACATTTTGAATCTTTGACAAGGTTTACGTATTACATCAAACTCATCAAAATTGCATCAAACAACAAAAAGTAAAAATTGGTTTTGTATGATATGGGCTCTTAAAAATGCAACACTGCCATGCTGGACTATATTGTTGTAGGTAATCTAAACTAGGTAGGCAGAAAACACCAACAATTTTGTCACCATCACATTAGCTTCATCACACAGCACTTGTCCACTACAGTTTCTCATTATGTTGAAAGGATTTTTTTCCAGCATTCTGTAAAGCTTGTCCAACTTTACAGCAGTTGTTACAACAGGAGGCTTTTGTGGGACATGGATAGTTCAGTTAACCCAATAAAATCCCAGGCTTGTTACATACTAAGGCTTAGTATTCAGTAACTACAGAGACTTTAATGCAAACTGGTTGAGCTCTTCTTAGGCTATGGAAGTGTGTAATAAAACTTTGGTCCTGCCAGGGGGCCCTGTCCATTTAAGGGGTTAAAGTGTGGACCCACATATGGGCCATTAGGATTAAAGGTTAAATGAGTGTAAAGGGTGAAATGAATATCTCAGCTTGTGCCTACTGTAGTGGTTCAGTTAAGCTGGATTTCAGTGATTTCACTGACATTTAAATATGGCGTAGACTCAAGAGATGCGCAGCAAAGGTATTTCTTTGAGTATATTTTTATCCCTCGATTGCAGGTTGACATCCGACAGGGTCACAGTGTGTTTTATGGCAGGGCAGAGTGAGGAGTGAGTCAGTGTGGTAGAAGTGGACTGGTCAGGCTGTGATAGTGGACTGCCTCTGCTCCTGTCTGAAGCTGATGGGCCGGGCGCGCTCCGTCTGCTGAGTGACGAAGTCTCTCTCCACGGCTGCAGTGTGACAGAAGCGGGGAAGCCATTGAGACAGAGTGCTGACATTTAACGATGACCTTTTCGTGGGACTTCATCATCTATTACCCAGCTGATCTAAGCGCCAAGATGAATTTATACACCCCTGCTGTGCATACATTTACTGCTAGGTGGAGGGTGAGATGCGTTTGTGTGGGCTGTGTGTTAAAAGCCAGTCACTCAGCACCAGCACTAACTTAGCTGCAAAGCACACTGTGGATGACTCCAGCTGAGACTAAAGTGGTCGTTGTGTTGCTTTGGGCTGCTAAGGCTTAAAGTTGAGCTTTCACCACACTTATGAAAGCTGGCTTTCAGTTCCCTGCAAATATCAGATCAAATTCCTCACAAATTAACTGGTGCAAGCTTTGCTAGTTCTTTCCTACAGCGGCAAAGTACACAGTGTAACACTACTGTATTTGAAAAAACTACACTCTAAGTTGTAACTAGTAAATCCTAAACCTACCGTTTAAGAACAAATTTGCCTAATGGTCAACAATCTGTAATGAAATGTAAAGTAAGATTTACAATGACAAATTCAAAGAAATAGGGGCTCCTTAATGGTACAAGTATTGGCCTAATCATCAGGAGACATATGTTAGCTAATGAGACAGAATTTACAGTTGGTGTTAGTGTCCGAACATCTTGAGATGCCCAATGGCATTGCATCAGTAGCAGCTTGAAAAACTGGAGGAAGCATATGCAAGCCTTCACCCTCCCTTCCTGGTAGCACTGTGTGCCTGGGACGTCCTACACTCTCAGAATTAAAGGTAGTAACTGTCACTGTGGCAGTACCCTTCTTCCCTTCAGGATACATCTCAGTACCTTTAGTCAGGGAACATAATTGTACCATAATCCATTGAAATTATGTATTTAGTTGTATTGATTCCAAACACTCCGTCTCATCTCCAGGCTTTTTATTTTATTTTATGTTTCTGTTTAAAACATTAGGTAATGCAAAGGCACAAATACATACTTTTCCACTGGAAAAAAATTATTTAAGGTACACAGTTGGACCTTAAACCCACTGTTGTATCTTTGAGGGAACATTTACATTGTTTGTATCTTGATTAACAAAAATGTACCTGTACAGAACCTTTATTTCTAACAGTGTAGTTATACATAGACATGTGCAAAAGTTTGGGTGCCTCTAGTCACATGACATGTTTTGTTGATTTTCTAAGTGAAAATAAGTTACATCCTCTACAGAGAACACACTTCTGTACACTTTAATGCACTATTACCGTTTATTTGCTGAATTTAACATATAAGGGAAAAATACATATAAAATGTGGTCTGTGTGGAAGTTATATTTTATATAAAATAATTATATTATTTTTTATCATATTAATTATATTTTATATAAAAAAATCACAATATGTTAAATTTTGCACTAAAATGTGCGGAAAAATACCATGTTTAAGCGTTCTCTATAAAAAGCATGTGTTAACTTATTTTAACTTAAAGGTTCAATTCTGATACTTAAAATTAATTTTTGTTGAGTTCCATTTTCTAAAAATATAGACAGCTAAAACTGCCCATCATTACAGAAACACCCAAAAATCAATACAAATCTATAATTTAAGAGAAATGTGCATTGTACTGTAGATAACAGTGCATTAGTCAAATATGCTAAGATTTTATGGTTTGTGTTTAAGTCTTTGGGTTTAAATTATTGCCAGTTCATTTTATAACCACATAATCAATGAACTGCAGCAATTTGTCTAATGGAAAATTTTCAACATGCACTATGACACCTGTGATCCTGTAATTACCGTGCATTTTCTCTAATGCACTCCTAACTGAGTGCTTACATAGAATCAACCCTGAAAAAGTTCAGAATTCAGATCTATTCTATCCACCTCTTATTTGACATTTATTTGTAAGATTGAAGAGTGATGGGGCAGCCCTGTTTGCTGCTAGAATTATGAAGCTGGTTTTGGGCTGGTTGGACATGCCTGACGAAGATACCTTTGCTAAGATTAAAGTGATCATAAAACAAATGGTACATAAGCTTTAGCCAGGTGAAATGGAGTGTTCAGTGTGTATTCAGTTAGGCCTCAGAATTTATAAAAACCTCCTAGGCGTTGAATGCTCTTCTGCATCATAGTTGCCAGCTGCCCAGAGAGTGGACTTCAGAGGAGAGGAGAGCCACTTCAGTCATTTATTCAAGTAGTGCACTCTAAAAAGAAAGGTTCCTAAAAGGTTCTTATTTTTATTGATTTCATCTTTAACTCATTAAGAGCACATTCTTATTTATGATTCTAGGAAAAATCTTCGATTGGTATAGAACATTTACATTTCATGGAGAAAAGCTTATTTACACTCACACATCTTATTTCCAAAAATCTGTCTATTAAAAGATTCTTAAGGGAACCAAAAGTGGTTCTTCTATGTATGGATGCAGGACGTCTTGTTTTTGTATCGTGTTGTGACCAGCGTGTTAGCTTGTGGTTTGTGTGTTTGCTTAGGGCTAACATATTAGCATATTAAGGACATTATGAAGCACAATGGTTGCTGCTAATATTGTATTTCTATAATGTGGAATTCTTTAATAATCTGAAAATAGAGACATTAACATATTAATGTACGACACATTTTTAGCCACTCCTTATTTTTGCTCTGTCATATCAAACCTAATAATTACGTGAGTGAATCGTTACCCCTAATTCTGTGACATTGCTCTGAAGAACCTAATATGGCACCTTTATTGTCAAGATCGTATGTAAGGCTGGGTCACCACACTATCAGTGGTGATGCACAGATAATCCACTGGAATGGCAGACCCAATAAATCTTCCACACTTGAACAGAAAGCTGCATGTGAAACTCTTTTACACAAAGAATCTAGACAACCTTAAAGACATTCTAGTGTTTTGATGGACTTTGACCTGCTGGTCATGTCTCTGTTTCTCTCTTGCTTGGTTTGGGCCTGCTGAAAGCCAGTGTGTGTGAAACTGAGACACTAGGACTTACGCTCCTCCCTACACACTCTCCTCTGCTCCCACTCCACTGGCAGGTTTGTCCCATCCCCCTCCCCGCCTCCTCACCATGACCCACTGCCACCTTCTTTTCATCTCCTCCACTTCTTTCATCTCTTCTCCAATTTGTTTCCTTTATTCCTTTTTATGCTGCTCTACAAATTCTTCCTCTTTCTAGCACCTCTCCTTTTCCTTGTTTCAAATTATCCACCCACATTTCATCTGTTCGTACTTATTGTTCTTTTCTAAGCTCTGCACCCTCCAACAAGCTACTCCTGCTTTCTAAATAAATTAATGTCTATCTATTATTTATCTTGAGTTCAGTTCCGTGTTTTTTTTCTCCAATATGTTACATTATTCTACCATTCCTCCGGACTGCTCTCTCTCTCTGCCTGTTTCTAGACCTGTTTGTGCTTCTGACTTGACTGCATGCTTCACTAGTAGTGGTCTTGGTAGAGATGAATGTAGATGTTCCGTAGATCAAGTAGATGGTATTGTCTGTTATGTAGAACCTGGTAAGACTTGTGAATATTATTGTTATGTATTGTTAAAATCCAGTATGAATTTGCACGGTAGAAATGTACTTCATGGCTTTCTTTTGCATATGCAAGTCTTGCCCTTTTCCTTCAGACTGGTGGTATGGAATTGTTCCAGAAGAAACTAGAAGACTGATATTTTTTTTGTATTTTGCAGCCTTTATCAGCGTTGGTTTCTCCACATTTGTCCACAACCTGCTTTCCATCTTTGAAGTCAGAACAAGTGTTCAATACAGTTTCTGAACTATCCCTAACTGTGTTCTGCACTAAGCTAGAAGAAAGAGCCTGCAGCCTTGCAGCCTCCTTTATGCCAACCTCGCTGGTGACCAAGGGAAGATGACTCACAGTACAGTTCTCTAAAGTTCTCTTGACAATGGAGGTCTATCCAAAGTTCATTGCAGGCCTTTGGGGCATGTTACCTGAGCATTGAGCACCTCTGCTCATCTGGGCTGGACATGAAGAGCTGTAGGGAGACTGACCCCTTCAACTCTCAGCCCTTTTCTCCCACACGCGCACACGCGCACACATGCACACACTATTACAGTACCAATCAAAAGTTTGGACATGCCGACATAATGGTCCCTAAATGGTTCCTGGATTGTACGTATGGTTTTAGGAAAAACCCTCAAATAGTGCAGAAGCTTTGCATTTTGTGGAGGTTATTTCAGCTTTTAAAAGTCCTTCACTCTCTTACAAAAATGGTTCTTTGAGCCCCTGTCCCCCAAAACCACTCTAGTTGAGTGCTATTGTAGCCCATATATTGCGGTAGATCAAAATTTTAATCCAGAGTTTCCTCTCCTCCCAATCCTTCCCTCAGCATAACCCCACTAACCAAAAGAAAAACGTCAAACTCTTTTACAAATAAAAACGAGGTTTTACATAAAACCATTTGTCCTGGTAGGGGGAGACAGTGTGTCCTCACAGAATGTCAGGATTGTCATGTCATGTTTGTGGAAACACTGGGTCCCTATAAAAGAGCAAAACAAAGTACACACAGACTCATACACAGCAGTTAATTTCTCCACTCCTCTTGTGTTGTCAGGCTGAGCTGCTCTGAGTGAGTATGTGAGTGAGGCAGGGAGGCAGCACGGAGAGCCTGTGTCACTCTCCATTAGGTGCTGTATGCAGACAGACAGGCGGTGGTCCGCAGCTGCGCGTGCCCTGCTCGCTCTGTCCTGTGCAGGCCGGCCGCAGGTGCGCACCGGGCCAGGCTGCGCCTCCAGCACCAGCAGCACTAGCTGCAAATATGAAATACACCTCATACACGTCTGTCACCCTTCCTGATGAAGACGGATGTGTGTTTTCTCCATCTCACTGCGAGCTGTCTACTTCCCTCCTCCATCTGTGCAGCACGGTGTGTGAATGTGTGTGATAGACAAAGAGAGATCCATCGCTGAGTAGAGGCTAATGCTGGAAACATTTATGTGATTAGATGTAATTTTAAAGGGCCCATGTTTTGCATTTTTCCTTGTATTTCTTGTTTCCCTGAAGTCCACTTACAGTGTTTGTGTGATTTTATGTACCAAACAGTAGAGCTGGCCCATATAGCATTTTACAGGCTTTGAATACTCGGTGGTTCTGGATACCACCTCACTTTAAGTATATCCATTAGTTGTTTTATATAGTTTTTTTAATAATGCAGTTTTCAATTTGTATTAAACAGTTTTACACATTTATACACCCCTTTTTACAATGTATGTACCCAAGATACAAAGAGACAGATGTGCTGTAACATTAAGTAGTCAGTCTAACTGGAGTTTTTGTTTACCTGGATAGAAGTGATGATACAGAACTAAGTTCAAGATGTAAATCATTTAAAATCTTTGTTTATTCATTTGGTTTCATAGTCAGTTCAGCTTGTTTACTAAGTGGATAGTAAAGTTCGTATTGCGTTGCCAGCTACAAGTTCAAATTCTATCACAAGTAAAATGAGTTCAATAGGCAAACATAAATTTCATTTAGGATTGAGGACTCATTGAGTTATTTTAATGTTTAATACTGAATTCATTTAGATTTAATTAGTTAAATTTCTGTTTACACAGCAAACGCAAAGTGTGATGTAGAATTCTGGTGGGGCCTAAAGCATTAACAGAAGACAAAGCCTCCAAATACTAAATAAGGAGATGAATACCAACATAACAAATGAATGTATGTCAAGAATTTGGGTCAACCAATTAAGTCATTTTATATGACCATTTTCAAACCTCTCTTTGTGCCTTAGAAATAAACAAGCTGTTTTTGATATGGTGCATTTAAGACTGATATATGTAAGTGACCTCTGTTCTGATTCTAAATATTTTGCCTTATCCAGTAAGCAGTCTGGGCTGAAACACTTATAACTTCAATGTGATTGGGAGTTATAAGTAGTGGTTTAGCTGTTGTATGCTGAATAGGCTGAAAAGTGAGGAAAATTCAGTGTTGCATAATATGGGCCCTTTAAATTC